TCCCAATAAGATGCACAGATCTTAAGTCTATATCTTTATAACTCCCCATCCAACATCTTTACCTGTGTAACCACCCAGATCAAGTTACAGAACATTGCAGTCACCTCAGGTTTCTTTCCAGTCTGCTCATACCTTTTCCCCAAGATGGAATCGCTGTTGTGCTTTCTGTCACCAGAGATGACTTTCACTAGCATTTGAACATCATATCAATGGAATCATACTATTAATCTTTTGTGTCTGGATTGTTTTATTATTATGTCTAGAAGATTCATTCATTTTGTTGAGTATACCTAGTGGTTGTTCTTTTTTATTGTTGTCTGGTGCTCCCTTGTTTAACTATCAATTTATTCTCCTTGATGGATATTTGAGTTTTTTGTTGTAAAATTCGGCCATTATGAATAAGAGTGATCATTCTTGAATGTGCCTTTTGATAGACAAATTCAGTCATTTATCTTGGATATATAAGTAGAGCTAGAATGGCTAGGTCATGGAGCAGGTGTATGTTTAGTATTAGTAGATAATGCCACAGTGGGTTGAGCAGTTCTAACAGTGTAGGAGAGTTCCAGTGGCTCAGCGTTCTTCCCAGGACTTGGTATTGGTGGTCTTTTGAATGCTGTCTATTCAGGAGGGGGTTGGTTATATTTAATTGGGGCTTCATTTGCATTTCCTTGAAGAGATATCGTGTTGGGCCCTATTTCTTATGCTTGTTAGCCATTTTTTAAAATTTATTTTGGTTTTTTGTTTTTGGCCTTCCTGATGTGCCTGTTCAAGTCTTTTACCCGTTTTATTAACTGGATTCACTTTTTTTTATTGGTTGGCATTCTTTACATATTATGGTTAAGAGTCTTACCAGAGATAGAAACCACAAACATCTTGGAGCGCCTGGGTGGCTCATTCGGTTAAGCGTCCGACTTCGACTCCAGTCATGATCTCACGGTTCATGAGTTTGAGCCCCACATTATGCTCTGTGCTGACAGCTCAGAGCCTGGAGCCTGCTTCAGATTCTGTGTCTCCATCTCTATCTCTGCCCCTTCCCCAGTCATGCTCTGTCTCTCTCAAAAAAATAAATAAAAACATTAAAAAAAAGAAACCTCTCTTGCTCTGTAGTTTGTCTTTTCACTCGTGTAATGTTACCTACTGATGAATGAAAATCTTCATTTTGATGAAGTACCATTTTCTCATTTTCCCCCCTCTACAATTAGTGCTTTTTGTGTGCTTTAAAAAAAACTTCACACCTTGCCATCTCTTAAGTATTTTGAGGCAAAAAAATGTGGAGAACCACTGCTGTAGAAAGTGAGCCACGATCACAGTGGCCACAATCCTATTCTTGTTTTGGATTGGCTGTTGGAGTGGTATCCTAGCGGTGATCATATTTATGAGATACTCTAGGCTTTGCAGACCCCTTTATTATTTGGTTGTCTTTGAGGCTATGCAGGAGCTCACTATGGTGCTTAGGGGAGGGCTTAGTCCTTTTTGATGGCAGAGGACTTGAGTGGTCAATATCAACTGTCTATGGGCTAGGGCACCATCACATTTGCTGTGATCTTGTGTGCAAGGAAGAGGCAACAGACTGTTGGATTCACATCGTGGTTCTGTGACTGTGGACCAAGTGCTTAAGCTATTTGAGCTTTGATTTTTAATAAGCTCTGTGGGATAGTTAGAGTATACCTACCTCATGATGTAGTTGTCAAGATTAAATGAATTAATATATATATTAATATATATGTTAACATATATATGTTTTTATATATATATTATAGTGATTACATATCACTCTATATAGTGATTAGCACAGCATCTGACATGTCCTCCTAGGATGTTATCATTGCAGTTTTTATTCTCTTATGGTGTTTGATAATATTACGATTCTTGGTAGAGCTAGAAAGAGCTCTTCAGTTCTCCTTCATTGTTTTATGTTTTCCCTTCCTCATTCCATACCCAGGCTGGAGTTCTCTTTCCTCCTCTCCACCTTTGTTATGAAAAGCCAGATGCTTTTCATATGTGAACTAAGCTGGTACACCTAGAAAAGTGTGGTGGCTTACAGGGACCAACATAGGAAGTAGAGGATTATAGAGTTTTGCTCATTATTTAGTTTTGAGGAATAATGGCATCATAGGGACATAGAGAGGGCCGATATGCAAAGAAACTTATTCCAAAATAAAGTTGACCCTTTCACCTTGGTTCTTGGAAATTCACACCTCAGAGATGTTTACCTGTGGTTTAAACTGTAATGAAGGAAAAGAAACTTGGAGCCAAAGGGGTGTTTTATAGATGTCTAGAAAGGACAGTACTGTGATCCAGGTATACGTGCAGGAGACGGAGAGAAAATGATCTGAACTTGAGGTGGCTGACAGGATTGGAACTAAGTGTGTTAAATCTACTTTATTCAGTTCTGTACTGTCCCCCACTCCCCTGCCAACAAAGGGGAACAAAACCACATGTGGAAAAGAACTTATATTTTGATATTTCTTCTTGAAGTGAAAACAAATCCTGTTGACTTTCCTGGTTACTAGGGCCAAGTAGCCTCTGAGTTTGTCTGAACTTCCTCTCTGTGGCTGTGGGTGGGTATCTCTCACATTGTGTGCCATGAAGTTGCTATGACATCTGCAAGGTCCCTGAAATCTTGGTATGCTAGGCCACTGCTGTGGTGTCACTGTTCACTGCTGAGCACCTAGCAGAAAATGAACTGGAGACACACTGGCTGCTTGACTTTAATGAATACCAGAGGGTGTCTTTGCTCTCTAGTGTGGGGGGATAGGAAGGAAAGGGGGTGGGGCTATGGGCAGCCCAGGGTAGTGGCCTCAGACCTAACGGTGCAGGGGGATCCCCTTGGGAAGTTGGTTAAAATCCATGTTCCCAGGCCCAGCCCTAAAATTTAGATTCAGGAAGGTGGTTTGGGGCTTGGAAATTCCATTTTAAAGGAATGCCGGATTCTGTAGCTGGTGGTCCAGGCACCACACTCAAAAATCCAGGTCCAGGAACGTGAGAGCTCTGCAATGGACTGGGGCTTCGTAGACTTTTTTTTTTTTTTTTTTATCTCTGAGCTATTGAAGCCTTTTGCTTTAGGTGGAAGAGTAGAATCAATCCATTGCCCACATGCCAGGGATCAGCTCTGTCGAGCTAAGGCTGCCAGTAGTCTGCAGACGCTCGTGGGTCGAGCACACCGAATAGGCTGATGGTGGGAGATGGGCACTTGGGTCTGAGAATGAGAATTTCTGAGAGGAGGAGGTAGGGCCTGGGCAGGGGCTGGCGGAGAATGGCCTTATATTTTCGAAGTCCCCTTTTTGTTAGGGTGGCATTGCCCAGGATGACCTTCACAGGAAGGACTGCCCTTGGGGAATGAGTATTCTCCTGCTCAGCACATCCACTCATCCACCCGCTTACCCACCTGCCACCACTCTTGTCTACTCTCCCCTGCATACACACAATGCACGCATACCCTCACACCCCCACCACATTGCTCCTTGAATTTGCAACCCGCGTGTACTTACATGCTCACATCTTTGGAACCTTTTTTATTCAGGGGATGTTGAGGGATGATGAATGAAAAGAAGCAAATGTGATATTTGAAATAGGTTCAACATAAATAGGCCTAGCATATTCATTGGGACTATGGAAGTAAGTCAGGAGCAGTGATATAATGGATCAGAGTGAATAGACTCATGCTGTTTAGGTACAGCCAGGTCCATATGTGTGCCTCTACCATACTCTTCTGTGATCATGAACAGTACCAGGGACTCAGGTGGTAATGGGATGGAATTCTTGCTCAGTGGACCTCTTACTTCGTTTTAAGCTTTCTCACACTTTAAAGATGAGGATTTAAATCAGCAGTTCTTAACTTTTGGAGGGTTGCAGTCTTATTGGATAACGAAATAGATTGAACTGTTAAAACAGAACAGTCAGTACTTTCGAACATGGAAACGATGATCACAGACGCTCTGGGACCCATCTATGGATCCTAAGAATGCCTGCTTTAATGAGCACCAGGGACTTTTAGCACCTTCTCCCAAGGATGTTGCCATGGCACAAGTCTCTGGTTGTGGGGTGCCGTCTGTAAGAGGGACTATTTGATTGTCTATAAGCTTTTTGGAGGGTTTGTGCTCAGTTGGAAAGAGCAGACAGATTTCACTGAGATAGTGAAAAGAGGTCATGCACGTAAAGAACTTCACACCTGACATGGCAAATACCCACTTAAAGAATGATCTACATTTAATACAATTACAAAACCTTCATAAATCTCCACGTCCAGAGCAGTGTAGAAGCGTTAGATTAGAGGTTAAGAGACCAGGGTCCTTCCAGCTTGGATGTAACCCCCTTTTTAAATACTGAGCCCATTTAATTCTGTTCACTTGAATGCATATGTATGGTAGTTGTACTGTGCGTAATGCTCTCTGTTAGGCATTTTGGAAGATAGGAATGAATAAGACCTCAAGGAACAAATAGGGTCTAAAGGAATCACTTAAAAACTTTTTTTAACATTTAATTTCGAGAGAGAGAGAGAGAGAGCAAGCGAGGGCGAGCATGAGCAGGGTGGGAATGGGGAATGGTGGGTGGGAGAGGGATGTGGAGTGGAGAGAGACAGGGAGACACAGAATCCTAAGTAGGCTCTAGGGCTCTGAGCCGTCAGCACAGAGCCCGACATGGGGCTTGAACTACGCGATCCTGACCTGAGCTGAAGTTGGAGCCTTAACTGACTGAGCCACTTGGGTGCCCCTAAAGGAACCACTTTCATCGTTGTATTCAGTAACTGTAGGGTCTTGTCTGCTGTGTTTCTTCCCAGCTCCCTGAGGGAAACGGATTCACTGAGGGCCACTTAGGGGAAGGCTTTGCTTCCTGAGACTGGAAGGCAGCTCTGAAGAGCCCCATGTGTGTCTGTCTTCATGTTACTAATCCCAGAAACCCCTCACTCCAATGTGTGGGTTTTTGTTGAAGCTTCACCTTCATCAAGATCTCTCTGTCTGTGGCATTGGGTTCATATCTGCGTCCTCCTTTCTCCACAGGCCTGGGGTCATCACCATGCAGGCGTTGTCGGAAGAGGACCGGAGGCTCTGGATGGAGGCCATGGATGGCCGGGAACCTGTAAGTAACAATTCAGGGAAGTGGAACAGAAATAAAGGCCCTGAGTTGTTTGCTGCTTCCCAAGTGCAGTGATTTTTGCCCTTGATCTCAAGCCTTGGTTTCTCAAGACCAGTGTACCAGAGAGAGTCTTTTACCTTGGACTGACTTGAGTAGATACTGATAGTGTTAGTGATGGTGATCCTGTGGCTGCAGTCCCTGAGCTTGGCTTCTCAGTCCATTGAGTCTGTGTGATACTCCCCTGGGCCAGGGCAGGCTAGTGTCCCTAGGTCTCTTAGAAGAGGCAGACCCTGGCTTGCTGAGTATCGATGCCTCCACGTCGTAGGGTGCAAAACCTACGTATATGGATCATGCAGTATCTTTTCTCATTGCCTTCCAGCCATGCAGTATCTTTGCTGATCGCCACAGTGGCAGCACGATGTGTGCGTCATACCACGATGCTTTCCAAGTGATGATATCCCTTTGTCATGTTGTTTTTCCTGCTAAGACCACAGAGGCCGAAAGAGAAGGCACTTCTGCTGTATAGAGCAGACATACTGTCTTCCTTGAGGGTTTTTGTGGACACAATAGCTTCTTGTTTGAAAGCCACTTGGCAGGGTGTCCTTTAACTCTGCCACTCTCGTCTCCTCTTAATTGAGACCTTGTATGTGTGTAAGTCAAAGATGTGACATGTCACATCTCTTAAACCATTTATTCTTCTTGGTACCTTACTAAGTAAATATGATCTTAACACATCCCAAAATACTACCATTTTACAGATGAGGAAACTGAGACCTAGGTTAAATAACTTGACTCAGTAGCACAGACAGTAAGTGGCTGTAATGGGAAGATGTGGGCTGGGTTGCCGTAACACGGAGATTCCCAAGTATAGTAGCTTAAACAACACAGAAGCTTATTTCTCTCTCCAAGCCCGGAAGTGAGCAGTCGAAGGTTTGCAGGGTCATTCTGCTGTACTCAACCCATGACTCCCCACGTTGGTCTAGTCATTACTATTTTTCAGCCAGGTAACGGAGCTGAAAGCATTCAGGACCCAGAAGGTGTACACATCACTTCCACTGGCCCTAACATACTTAACATTGGCCACATCTGTCTGCAGAGGAGGGTGGGAAATCGAGTTTGAACATAGGCAGTAGGCAGCCATGGCCCTAGGCAGTATCCAGGGCATTTTATCACTTCCAGGAAGAGGAAGAGAAAGAAGACTGTGGGTGGTTGACAGTTCCCACCACAGTGGAGAGCTAGAATATGAACCTGTGTGTGGCTCCAGACGTGTTTGGTGTTGATCATTAACAGATGAAATGTGAAATCGCCTTCTAAGGATTCTCACTCATTTCATTTTTACAGTACTTTCTCTGTCTCTCTTGAATGATTCTCCAATTCTAGGGGAGGAAATACCCAGGAAGAAAAAAAATCTTGTCAGGGTGTGGGTCTCCCCGACCCTCCTCCCCCCGAACCTGCAGTTTTACGACTGCCTAACTAACTCCCTTTGAAGCCTCCCTTCCTCCCTCTCCCCACTGCTTGATATTTGTCCTCTGTCTGTATGTAATTGGTCTTACTAAACACTTGACTTTTCCCGTAGATTAACATCTGGCTTCTGCAGATGGAAAACGTGATGCTGAAAGAAACATTTCCTTGCTCCAGAATGTACACATTAAAACAAGTTGAAACACTAAATAATTCTGTTTCTAAACATAATATAAAATTATTTTCCTCACGGGAACATAGAACTTGCATTGAGGACCACACCTCTGTGTACTTCTCAGTTTCCGGAGAGAGAGAAACAGACAAATGATAACTCCATAAATGGCAGGAATATTAGGCCTAATTTTGTCTCCCATTGCTGAGAGCCTCTGGGGAATATTCCCAGAGCTATATACCCAGTAGACAATTAGCAGCTCCAGTTTTAATCACAGTCTCCCTAATTAGTTAAATCTCTCCCCTTAGAAATTTAGGCTTTGGTAAGGGAAGCAGAAACCTCTTTTTCTATCTGGTCTTGGAATGTTTGCTTTATTTCAGGGAGATTATAATGGCAGCACTTAATTTTTGTTTTTGTACTTCTAGCTCAGTTGTTCTGTGATTGATTGATTATTCAGTGTTGGGGGGGAGGGGTGGGGAGTCTTCGGCTTACATCCTTTTTGTTCTTTTATTATTTAATCACACTTAAGTTTGGTTGGTTAGTTGGTACAGCAGTCTAAATGAACGCTAAATTAGTTGATATTACACTGTTTCAGTTAATTGTTACAGAAATTACAGTTTGTAGTGCTCAGTGACTGTCTTCATCCACAAGAAATTCTGGATGTCTTTGTGGTATTCATGGCTGTATAATGCAATAAGAAATTAGAATTGTGGCTTTGCAGTGAACATTATAGTTTATATCTGTGTTGCGAATTTGAATTCAAATGACAGAAGCCCCATTTATACTTGGTTGAGAAAAAAAGCTGGATTTATTGGCTATGGAACTGAAAAATGTTGGGGTATAATAGTCCTGGCCCATCTGAATCCAGGAACTTCCCTAGTATTTGGAGTTGTTTTCTTTTTTTTGGGGTTGATAACATTTCTCGTAGGTTCCTTCCAGATAGTGGTGATAGGCTTCCAAGCTTTTTCAGGCTTATATTATATTACCAATAATAGCAGTCAGGAAAGTGACTCTGTTAATGGGACAGATTAGAATTTAGGCTTCAGGACCCCAGTGGTTGCTGTTGGAGCTACTCTTCTTAGCTGTTGTAACTGAAAAGCAGCCATAGACAATAGGTAAATGGATGGGTGTGGCCACATTGCAATAAACCTTTGTTTACCAAAAACAGCTAGATGGCCAGGTTTCAGTTACGGGGCATACTTTGTTGATCCCTAATCTATAAGTTTAGTAGAAAGAGAGCCTTATGTAATAATTTCGAAGAAGAAGAAGTCCCATATTTGAATTTTATTGTACTAAATGTCTGGACCAGTGGGTGGGATAGATGAATTGCCAAGACCTGACTCAGCAGTAGGGCAAGAAAAAAAATAAAAGGTGTACAGATGTGAGTATATAATTATTTTTAAAAACTTAATAAGCTGGTTAGTAAGATGAAGTTTTAAAATGACTCTGTTGGATTTTCTTGACTTTCTTTGAAATCTGGGTTGATAAGCTGTTGTAGCTTATCACCATTGTAGCCCCATATGCTGTTGGTTTAATCTTTTGTGGCCCATAGTTTCAGGCTTATGAACACACTTTCCCTATTAGGTCATGAAGCCTTGATTCAAGCTGCATAAGTACTGCAGCCAAGAAAAATTTGAGAGCAGGTTAGAGGGAACGCTGCCTGAAAAAGGTCAGTTAGTGGTCGATCTTGAGTAGATAATCCAAGTCTGGAAGCTTCCAGCTCTGTGCTGTTTTTTTACTGCAACACACACTGCTGAATTATTAGGAAGCTGTAGTTGAATAGTACCTACCCTCCTCTTTGAGAGGAGCTACTACTTGTGGCTCCTGCAGTGGTTGAAGGGAAAAGAGGAAGAGACTAAGGAAAAACCATTCCTCTAGGGAGCAGACAAGACAGTGTGGCTTCTTTCTCACTTTCATTTTAAAGAAATCTTCTATTTTAGTCCTTTGGGCTTTGAAACTGAACAGCATGTGCCCTTCTCTCACCTTTTTCTACTGTGCCCAAACTCTAGTCCCCAAGTTCTTTAAGAACTCCTAGAATAAATCAATAGTTGCCCTGTATCTTAGACTCTGCATAATGTCTGAAAGAACTGTTTAGAGTATTTAAGGAAAAAAGTAAGGTTGATTAATGATAAGAGTCTAGGATCAGAGGCAGAATGTTATGGTGGTTAAGAATATAGGCTTGCAGTGCCTGGGCGGCTCAGTCGATTAATTGTCCAACTTCAGCTCAGGTCATGATCTCACAGTTCTTGGGTTTGAGCCCTGTGTCAGGCTCTGTGCCGACAGCTCAGAGCCTGGAGCCTGCTTCAGATTCTGTGTCTCCCTCGCTCTCCACCCCTCCCCCACTCACACTCTGCCTTTCTCTCTCTGTCAAAAAAATAAAAAATAGAAAAAACATATTAAAAAAAAAAAAAAGAATGTAGACTCAGCCAGCCTGAGTGGAAATCCCCTCTCACCACTAATAGGTTTCTAACCTTATAAGATGACCTAGTCTCTGCGAACATGTTTCTTAGCTAGCAAAATAGGGATAATAATAATAATACCTTCCTATAAAGTTGTTTCGTAAGGATCTATGTATATGTACACTGAGCACAAGTCCTGAACACAGTAAAGAGCTCATTAAAAGTTCATTCTTACTGTTGTCCTTTTGGAGAGGGGAGCAGAGAGTAGGATAAATGGATTCTCTTTCTAGCTTCCATTTCTAAATTACTTGGGTCATTTGAGCACAGAGTTTATTTAAAGTCACCTTGCCTGGGCTCACCAGAGGGCAGGCAGGGACTGCTCTCACTGGTATGGAAGAAATGATTTCACAGAGCAGTCAGGCTGAACTGGAAGTCTACAAGTAGAGGATTATGAAGTAATCTGTAGCCTCCTTTGATATAATGCCTCCCAGGGCCAGCAGTTCATCAGCCCAGCTGTATGCTAAGCTCACCTCACAATTTCACCACAAATGCTTAGATTTTTCCTTTCCAAGGTAAAATAAGTGATCAGAGGAGTCTGAAGGGTTAAGAAAGTGTAGGGTGAAATTACGAAGCTCTTGGGTGATGATGCAGTTCTCACAACCTTATGAGTTCTGCCCATTTTCTGAGAGCTTTCTTAGTGACCATTTGAGGTGAAGAGTCTGAGGGCGAGGTCTTTATTTGTGGTCCATTTCATCCACTTGTCCCCAAGTTGCTGGGAAATTGGATTAGACCTCTATTATTTTACTTGTGTTTCTTGTTCTCTTACTGTATCAGAAAACTGGTTGCAAGCTTCATCTTTGAGTCTTGTGTCTTTATATAGGTAGAATTCATAATAGTGCATGCTCTATCATACCATTATGTGCAAGTCTTAAAAGGAATTCCGTACTCTCGATCCTTGTTCCCTTTGGTTA